CACTGGGGGGAGGAAAGGTACACAGCACAGCTCATTTCCTGCTCATTGTAAAGGATGGTGGACAACAGCATGTCCTGAAATTTGATGGTGCAGGCCAATGGGGGGCAGGTAAGCCTTCATTGTTTGGCGACTGCACAACTAGGGAGATCTGATGTATTCTGAGCAGGACTGTGAGGAGAAAATGTGCCCCTTGTGCGGTCTTGCAAGGGAACAGAGCTGATGCCACCCCACAGCCCACTAAGGGTGCAGGTCTGAAGCTGGTTAAGAGCAAGATTGTTTTCCACCAAGACCACAAAATGCCCAAGCAGAAATCACATTGAAGTGACTCACAGGCATCCAAGGGTTTGTGAAATCTGGATGTTGAGATGATAGTCACTGACATGATCTCATGCCCTAGGACCCCCCATCCAGGGCATGTCAGAATCCAGAAGACTGCTGAGTGTCCTTGGACCCGAACCATGTGAAGAGTCATAGGAAGTTACCAGCCTGCAAATTTTGTGCCAAAAGACAGCAGAAGTGTACGTCTATCAACAGTCCATCACCCACCCCCTCTGGCAGCAGGTGTTCATCCTGTCCAGAAAATCCACATGTTTCTGTACTCACTCATTCTTTCACATTACGATCCCTGAGGTATGAAGGTATTGTTCTTATGATGGACCACCATGAAATGCCTTAGTGATTCCTCCAGAATGGCAGTTTGTTCCCACAGTGCACATGACTTGCAGCCACCCTGATAAGCAGAGATAAGTAACTGTTAGTATGGGTTGCTTATCTGAGCCTGAAATTTCAGACTCCCAGACAACGCGGCTTGACCAACAGATACAAACAAATGCAGTGGTTAAGCACTCTGTTATGGATATGAGGCCCATGAAACACCTTAGCAGTTCCCCCAATAAGGAAACTGGTGAACACATCATGTGACTGGTAGCTTGGGGCCCACTGCTGCAAGCACTCACACACTGTAGGGGCTATATAGTCTCAGCCAGTAACAAATCATAGTATACATAGTATATTCATCTGATAGTCATGATGATGACTGCAGGTGCAGTACTAGTGTCCATACTATCACACATAATGTATGGGGAGAACATGTGGATGCATCACATGATACATGAACAGTGATACAGTGTTACAATCCCTGAGGTACGAAGGAATCATTCTTATGACTGGAGAGAATGTAACACTTAGCATGGAGCCCAATGTGGCAGGTTTTTCCCACAGTGCATGTGACTCTTTGAGTGCCAGATAACCAAGGATAAGTAAGACTTACTATGCTATCATTAGCTGAGTTTCAATTTTCAGACTCCCAGACCACACGACTTGCACCAACACACCCAAACAAATGCTGTGGCTGACAATTCCCCATGGATATGGCTCCTGTAACATCTAGCTTGGAGCCCAATATGGAAAGTGGTGAACATGGCATGTCACCTAACCAGCAGCACTGGGCTCCAATATATTTGATCACTTTTTGCAACAGTAAGCACCCACAAATGGATATGACAATTGTATAGTCAACTTGTAGCCCTTTTTCATAGAGTCTACAGTAATTTTGTTGGGCCCCAGTTGTGGCTAGTTAGGCCAGAAAATGCAAAATACAAAAAATCACAAGTGACTTTGCAGAATTGAAACAGCTCATTTTCACCTTACACATGTAGCACATGAGTCATACAGTATAGCCATGTGTGTCAGACATCATGAAAATGCTTTATGGTACCAATACAGAACTCAGAATGGGCAAGGACAGCTAATTTGATGCATGGTATTATTGCTTACCTTCCATATATGGTAGCATATTGTAAACATCACAGACCTGATTAACATGCCATAGTACTCTATGAATATCTTCTGATTTATCTGCAATTTATGAACCACCAGACATTCATTTTATGGAGAATTACTGGATTTGGCAGGTTACTCACCATTTAGGGCAATGTGAGCTTTTGTGATGCTTCTTGTGCAAAAGCCCTCCCACAACTTGCCTGGAATGTGTATTTTCCTGGATAATCAGTTACAGATCACTGAGTATGTATACATATCTCTGTTGCACCAGAAAAGGCACAATGGCCATTGTGTCTAGCCAGTCACATGATCCATGACATGCAGTCGCAGCACTCGCAGTGATAAAACACCACTGCGAGTGCTGCAACCGCACATCGTGGATCATGTGACTGTGAAAAAGTGGTCAAAAGTGCGCAGAACATTCATTCTGAGGACAAAACCTACTGTTTTGGGCCCAGAAAATTGTATAAATTCCCAATAAAGTTCAGGAACCTCAGTACAGCTATCCTAGAGTATTTCAAAGTCAGTTGGGACCAACATCATCTCAATTGAGGATCCCACAGGGCTGCCAGTTAGATTTCAAGATACAGTAGTAACAGTACTGCATTGGGTGTTACCTATAGCCACTCTATGATACCTTGGAGTGATTTGCTTAAATTGAGAGCACAATGTTTGATGTTTGAGGATTCACACAGTGTGATATTGAGGTATCCAGTATATATGTGGCTTGGTGAGTTAGAGTATGCAGTTAACAATGTCACTAGACACAGCCATGTGTGCTCTGATATATATTCACAATAACAACACAGTGGTTCTACTATTTTCACCAGCAACTGCCTTATGTAACACCCTGACCCAATGAGTGTAGGAATGTATACTGTTCTTGTTGTCCTTGATACAGACAGAGAGCAGACAAAGACAATGGTTGAGAAAATTACAAATGCCTATAGGTATGGAAAGATCCACATTGGGACACATGAACACTGATGTGCATATAGCCCTGGGATTCATGGAAAGAAGCATCAGCAACTGTTAATGTCACAATAACATTTCAAGAGTTGGACACAGTACATATATATTAATGCATGTATGCTGATTAATGATTCTCCATATGCCAGTTGGTTGAACTGATGCATTCATCCACTCTGAATGTTCTGTCATTTCTACAGTATCTACTGGGCCCACAAGGCATTGCCCAGTGTATGATTGCCAATTGGGAGGGCACCTGCCACAAGTAGTTATAAAGATAGCTCCTGCTTCACAGACCCTCTCATAATTTCCCTAGCCTTCATAGTTCCTTATGCTATACATGGAACAAATCATGAACATGTGCAGGATATTCATTCTAGGCCACATAACCTCCTTGTATAGGCTCAGAAAAGTCCAAACACCCCAGAAAATCAGTGAAGCACATATCAGTGGTCATTGTGCTCACCCAAAGCTATGGCAGCACTTACCATACTTTGATATGGGACTACAGCTAACTCATTTCAAGGGGTGCAAGATATATGCAGACTGCCTGCTGCTATGAAAAAAAACAATGATGTTGATGATAAAATTCTTGTTTACAATTTCTTGCTCTCCATTGAATATTCATAACTTCCTGTGACAGATCCTCAGGTCATGAATTAGGGAATTTTGGCAGTAACATAGCTTTGATAATCTGCGGATGTCCTCATTTGTTAGCAATGTGGACTCCTTAGTTCAAATTGTGAGGCACCTTTTGAACAGTAGGTACCCACCTAATGCATTTAGCAGATTTCTGTTAGTAGATTGTTACATATACCTGGATTGACAGTAACATAGAGTTATTCAGGATAAGGGATGAGGAGAGGAATGCAGATGATAATTCCAGTATACTGCATCAAGAACATGTGACTTACTGTTTTTCATAGCATGAGCCATAATTCATGAAGAGGTATCATGGGTGTACCAAAATCAGCATGGTTGACATGAACAGACTCTGACATTGGGAGGTCTAGGCCAATGTAGTATCAATTTGTAGGGAAGTATGACTTACTCAGTTCAAATGATACAATTGTTTGTGATAATTGTTGTTATTGAGTGACTAACAGTCCCTAGACAGATTCCATGATACAATCATCTCCCACTCATAACATAATATTATTGTTCAGTGTTTTTAGACAGTGCATAATGCCCAGACATGGTGACAGGGCAGCTCAGGTACAGTTGGGCAAGAACAAGTCTGTGTCCACACATATCATTGGATAATGGCTGTATAGCAATACTGGCATAGCTATCTATGATCAGTAAAAGTTCTGATGAAGAGATATGCACATTTGGGATTCAATGCTCTGTGTCTTGTGGTACTGCAATGAGGAATGAGCTGAGCAACAATAATGGAAGCACCTCTGTTACTACTATAATACTTCTTGATGATTTCAATATGGCCTGCACAAGGTTATTGTTATTGTCACAATTTGACAACTACTTGATAAAGCATGGAAGTTAGTCTCACAGAGTAGGATATATCAATGCATTTGATAAGTGAGATTCAAGCAATCATTTTATGAGCCAGAAGACAAACTACACAGACAATACAACTGGGATCATATTGCCATGCATGGTCCACTCCCCAGCAAGTTCTATTACCATATATGGGCAAGAAATTGTGGTAACTCACCTCAACTTCATTTACTGAACAGGCCCTAAAGTAACTAGCTACTCACAGTAGCCATACAGTGACAGGAACAAATTTTGCAGCTCGATCTTCATGCCTGCCATGTTACACAGGCCAGGGGGCGAGCTGAACAGTGGGGAGCAGGGCCACACATGTCGACGGGGAGGAGCATGGATGCAACAAGGTAGGTCTCATTTAGGTAGCAGTGATGTCATTTAAATGGGATTAATATTGAATCACTAATGTATTTTAGATCAACTTAAACCCCATACACTTTTAACCTGATCCTGTGCTAAGCTGTTGCTTAGCCAATAGATTAGCCAAGTAGGGGATCAGTAGAGCTAATCCACACATGTTAAGCCATAGATTAGCCATAGTTAGTCCATATCTAATCCCATTGTAATCCATTGGTTAGACTTGCTGAGATGCTGCTTAGCCATTGGATTACCCATGGCTAAGTAATATCTGATCCATGTCTTAACCATAGATTAGCCATGCTTAGCTATGACTTGGGCAAGAGATTAACAAGTAAATCAGGCTAAACAGAGTTGGTAGACTTTCAATCTTATCCACTGCTATGCGCGTGCTTGCGTACAACCGCTTCACGCGGCGGGACTGCTTCGTGCTCGCCGCGGCACTCTCCTTCGGGCTTGGGGACATCCTCATGTCCGACTTCCTCACGTACCTCTTCGCGGGCATGCGCACAAACAACAAGGGCCTGCAGGGCTTCCTCGACAGCATCACGATCGTGCTCAGCACGCCTTGTGAGTCCCGCATCTCCCCTCTTACGGCGCCTCGCTGAGTCGTCCTCGCGGTGTGCAGTCTTGATCACAGGCCTGATCACGGTGCTCCTCAACTTGATCCTCCCGCAGGAGGATGACCAGAACGGGGACGACAACGATGTCATCGAGCGCGGCATCGAGCGCGAGGTCGTGCACGTCGAGGCGGCGGAGCGCGGGCACGACGAGAAGACAATCTAGTGGATGGAGGTGTACGCAAAAATCTAATGGGATATCGGAAATGTAATGACGCGGAAAGGGGTGTAGCGTACATGGCTAGAAGAAATGCTCAGCCTAATGGAATGGTTCGCAGTCATCTGGAGCGGTAGGACAGATAACAGGCTGGTGATTGGTTCGTGCTGGCGATGCCATTGGCTGCGCGATCTACATGCATACTTTTTGTGGGCCTTGATCAAGCCTGGATGACGTCCTTATCTCGCACTCGAAGCATCTGCTGGCTCTCCGCCATGCCCAGGGGCGAAGGAAGGGTATCTAGTCGATCGTCGGTTCGCTCACTGGCTCAGACAGTCTTAAGTTCTGACCATCGCCATGCCCCGCAGAGTGCTCATCGGGTTTGGCGTCAACGTGGACGCGGTGGCAGGGTGGTAAGTCCGAGCATACCCATCTGGCGTTGATCGCGAGGACAAGACAGTCCGTAACCGTGACGCACTGGCAGGCTCGGGTCGTACGGGGGCGAAGATTCAGTGTTGGACATATCCAGGGTATGTACATGCCTTTGAGCTGGTGCGCACCGGGGAGCTGGCAGGTCTGACTCGCGGATGCATGCAAGGGCCTGTACTCGGGCGAGGTTGGTGTGCCGCGCCTGTTGAAGCTGTTCAGGAAATCCGGGGTCAAGACGACATGGTTCATCCCCGGTGGGTTCCAGTTGCTCAACCGAAGTGTGTCAGGGTAGCTCCGCGGAGCTGGGGCACTCACGGACGCACAGGACACAGTCTGGAGACGTTCCCGGAGCAGATGGCCGCCGTCAGAGACGCGGGGCACGAGATGTATGTAGCTTTGCATCATCCGTGACAACAGCCTTTTGGATTATCACCGACACGGACCTACAGCGGGCTACACAGGTACTCGCATGAGGTACGTGCATCAGACAAGAGGTGATCAGCTGGAACTGTGGATGGCTGATGGCGGAGAACCCTGTCTCGATGACGCCCGAGCAGCAGAAGGACATCCTCGAGTACACGTACGACCTCCTGACGGTGTTCAACAACAGCATCCCGCCAAAGGGGAGTGTCGCGCCGTGGTGGGAGACGAGCGCGGAGGGCACGATGCTGCTGATCGACAAGGGGATCAAATACGGTACGGGCTGTCCTTGAGAGTACCCGTGCTGGCTCGTTGACACAGTCCTCCCAGATCATTCGCACATGGCTCACGAGTGAGCAGCAGCACGGATGTGAGAAGTGCTGGCTAACACTTACTCGGATCATGTGTAGCTCGCAGGCATACTACCTGCGTGACCAGGATACGTGGACGAAGATCGACTACATGGCCAAGGCTGAGGCGTGGATGAAGCCGCTGCAACGAGGGAACATCACCGGATTGGTGGAGCTACCTGCTAACTGGTTCGAACCACTCTCATTCGAGATCCACAACGACTTGTGCTCACCGTTGCGCGTCTGGGACAGGTATTTGGATGATCTTCCGCCAATGATGTGCGTGTTCCACACGCACGCATCAAGCACCATTCTCATCATCTCGGTCTGGTAGGTTTATCAAGGGAAGCACAAACTCACATGGATGGGTCAACTGCCGAGACGTCGAGCAACTCTGGAAGGACACCTTCACCTACCTCTACCAGGAGGAAGAGGATTTCATCTTCCCTATCACAATCCATCCCGACGTCAGCGGGTACGTGTCCTGTATGTTGAACCTCACCAGGACTGATCGCGACCGCTACCACGCAGTCGCCCGCATGTCTTGCTCATGCTGGAGTGCTTCATTGAGTGGGTCAACACCCACGAGAATGTACACAGGAGTGGTCCCATGGGGACAAGCTTGTGGACACGGTGAGATTGAGGTTCGCCAATGCGACAAGACTACATCATGATGCCGTCCATCAAGTCCATTCAGAGATACACATAGCAAGAAGGAGCGGTCTTAGGTCATACGTTAGGTGAACATTGTGCGCAGCCTCGAATTCGTCCACACCAAGAAACAGCAACCAATCCCGCCAGCCTACGTACTAAATTCCACAACAGAATCTGGATGCTTCGTTAGCCCTGGCATACCACAAGATTTGGCAATCTCTTACCACCCCATGCCCTGCTCTCGTTCGGGGAGATGGGACTGTACAGACCTCTAATGAACGTCGCAGACCTGGACTGCATCGCTTGCAATGTCTTCGCGTTTTCTATGAGCAGATGAAGAGCGCAGACATCGAGGGCTATGGAGTGGTAGGCATTCGGTTCGCTCTTGTTCTCGAGAGGTTGCAGTGCCTCGGCCAGCACGAAATGGTCCCTGATGGCTCTTCTGGATGTCCTATGATCCTGCAGATCAAACTGGTTAGTCGTGACAACACCAAGTGATCTAGTATGGGCTCACATTTCGAAGGTAGAAATCAAACGTTAGGATGAAGTGTACCAATACCCACAGCAACATGTGTCTGTGGTTAACGCGCTGGCCCTTCACATTATTGAGGGCCTTTGTATAGCCCAAGGACACCCGGACTTCCGGTATGGAGAGCCCGGTGAGCTCTTTGTCAATGGTAGGGCGGCAACGGGCGAACCACCACGCCAAGAGATTCTCAACATAGTGCCGACTCTCCACCACACTGTGACCCACCCCGGCGGTCTCCTCCAGCAGGACACCATTAATTGCGAGGATTTTGTCCTCTGTCGGGGTGTTGCCGCTGAGGATAGGGCTGATTGCCGCCTTCAACTGCGCCCCTGAGCGGGCTGGTGGCAGGGCGTTGACTGGAGCAGGGGGGGGAGCAGGAAGGCCCGGGGGCACAGGAAGGGGCGCAGGAGGGGGGATAGCAACCGGAGCCGTTCTAGAGACGGCGACGTCAGGGACTGCATTGGCGGCGTTGATGGCTGCGTTGGTGGCCGCCGCCACCATCGCCTGCGTTCCCACCAGGGTGATCGATACGATGACTCGATGCATTCCGACGGGTGGAGTGATGTCCAGTACCCTCGACAGGTAAGCTGTATATACGCATCAATAGCCCGCTGAGCAGTAGGAAATGACCTAGACCGGTTCTTTTCAGAATGTCTGCCCGCCAAAGACATTTGTGGTAGTAGTGGTACTCATATGGATATGGAAGTATTTGGAGGTCATGCCCGGGCCTGGACCCCTTCTTTCCAGGCCGATGTCAGGCTCTGCACACCAAAAGGCATTGTGAAGTCTCTCACCAATTGCTTCTCGAGTAAGGAGGCCGCCAGGGTACGGAGCTTCCCTCTTCCTCTTCGCTGCCTGGAGCTGACTTGCAGGAACAGGACCCGAGAGCCATGTCTCTAGGCTCAATGTCACTTATGAATGGAATCATATATGGCAAGCTAATCTCTCGATGACACTCGTCGTGGGATGTCCACCTCCTGCCGACCGCTCCGTCTCCTGCTTTTCGCGGTGTTGATCCCACCTGAAGTCCCATTATCTGTGCACTCTGACACGAGAAGACCAGAATCTCAGCATTGCAAGCGCGGAGTTCCCTAGTAGATGTAATCAACAGTCTAGAATGGTGTACATAATGGCGACGAAGACATAACCATGCAGGTAGATTTGACGGCAGAGACAGCCAAAGGAAAGTTACCTGCCTATGGTTACCGTACATGCTCTTCTCGCACGGCTCTGCTGCAGCACGTCCTGGTGTCCGCCTCAGCGGAAGCAAACACATGATTCTGGAACTTCGAGTTGTGTGTGAGAGACGTCCGTCAATTTACCGTCAAAGCCAAACAAACGCTGCCCACGACCCAACCAAGCCGCGTCGATAAGTGATTCAACATCCTCATTTGTCAAGCCTCAGGCCTCAGGCTTACAACACCCATACCCTCGAGAGCGCTTGAGCCTAGGGCTCTTCTGCCCCGACTTGACGTCGTCGCAGTCAAACTCAAACCGTGCCCTCGGATTTTGAGTGGCGATGAATTCTGGGACCCCACTTAGGCTGTCCCGAATTGGAAGAGCGTGCGCGAAGACACCCCACTTTGAGAGCCACACCTTATCTGCGGATCTCTAGTCAGCTGCCTGGACAGTGTGCACTCCGGGGACTTCCCTCTTGACGACTCTTCCCATGCTGGCAAAAACTTTGTGTTACGTTTTGGTTATGTTGACTGTGCATGTATGCCAGTGTGTTTCCGATAGACAGCGGACTGGTAGGCCTATGGGACTTTAGGGTGTCAGCGTGCTACTGCTTTTGGCTCCTGATCTTGGTTTTCTGCGTGCCGTGCCAGACCGGGTTCAGCTTCGCTGTCTGTGAACTGTGACACCAAATTCTCCTGGACAAAGGGCAACTGAGACGCAGTCCTCTGGCTTGGACGATAACAGGCGGTGTCGGCCCTCCTTATCGCACGTCGCGCACCGGTGCTACCATGACGGCAGACAGCAATGTCATCTCACGTTGACCTAAGGTCTCCACATCTGTAATCGGCATGTGGTGCCCGGCATCGCGCTTTGGAGAGTTCACTTCCTCATGGCATTATGTCTTCCGTTCAGGTGTTGGGTACGCAGATTGGTCGCGGTTCCTTTGCGCTTGCGGCTTGCATGAGTGCTCAGTCTACGGATTTTGTACCATGCACGTACCTACCAAAACCTTCGTACTGCAAAGAAATGGGCGGGAATGCATGGTGAAGTCCAATTGAGTAGGTCTCCTATGGCGGCCTGTTTGTTTCAATATTCGGAGCGCATGAAGTAGAGTAGCACTCACAAAAATGTATACACGCATTCACGAGAAGTACAGAAACTCACGAAGAGAATGGATGAGCACGATGCCTATACGAAATGTTAATGAGTACTCACAAAAGTTGGCCTTGCACAACATGCGCGCGTGGGTGTGATTCAGTCACCGCTTGTCACGAAGTGACGCGTGAGTGTGCAGCCTTAGCACACCTCCAGCTCTCATCGTCGAAGAGGACCCAAGTGATGATAGCATACCGGAGTGCCGCAGTATCAGGTCCTTTGCTAATCAGCGAGAAACATGGGTGCCACAAATTGTGAGTAGAGGTCTTCTAGGCCGTCGTAGAAAGAGTGCGAGCGGTCAGGAAAGAATAGCGAGATGTCTAGGAGTGGACATGGAGGTTTCCTATTAGGATGCCTGGGAGAGGCGGTCCCGAGACTACAACAAGTGGACAGGTGTTTGTCAAGCCCAGAAGGAGTGCGAACCGAGAGCCTTGCTCTTGACAACAAAAGCAAAGCAAAGCCATACAAGGAACAAGAGGCCTCCAGATAGGAGCGCACTGAAGAAGATCGGCATGCGGTCGTTGCCGCGGGCATTGAGAGTAGAGCATGTCAAGAGACGAGGGCTCCGGACGGGTGCATCGGGTGAGGAGCAGGAATGTTCCAGAGCGGGGATGTATAATGCGCCTCTGTCCGGGACGAGTTGTAACGGAACGCGCTCACGCAACCATGTCAGGGTGCTTTCCCAATCCGAATAACTGGGGTCGTTCATCGGCAATCCTTGCTTCAATACCACTCGCGACCTCGCCGGCCGCGCCCTGTTGTTCTGCTTGTCTCCTTTCAGGCTTTGGCAAGGCGACTCCCAGCTGCCACCCAGTTGCAGGCCGCGGAGCAATAAGGAACGTTGTGTCGCGTGTACCATGAGCGAGACAGGCTGTCCAGGCTCGTGGCGACACCTACAGGGTCTATGTGTTCACTCAAGCTATAGCTCTAAGAGCACGGCGAGAATGAACGGTGAGCAGGACAACTCACATTATTGCGTCTCACTCTACTCATTGGGGACCAGCCCTCATCGCGATGTGATTTCCTCCATGGGCCCATGCCTACATTCACACGGCGCGTCGTAATCTCAATGCCTTGCATGCGCGTCCCATTGGTCTTCTGCAGGGGAGCGACGACTGGTCGAGCACAATGCAGACGCGCTCTGACCAGAGCGAGGAAGATCGAAGCTAGTCTAATATGGCCTCTTCTAGTGCGGGAGGTCGGTCGCATAAGCCAATGTTGAATAGGGGAGACCATCGGGTATGTCAGATACGGAGCCCCGGAAGCAAGTAGTCAGTTCTGTCGAGAACACAAGTCGTGGGCGGAAGCAAGGTCGTGATGGTTCGTCGTTGGAGCACGTGCAGAACGAGCGCCAATCCCCGCCCAGGCTCTCGCGTGTGACTTGGACAAGCCAAGCGCCTGTAAGTACTCGCTCTCGCTGGTACGAAGTTGTTTATCCTCCTTGAACCCTCATGCGCACCGACACCAATTCTTGATAGACTAGTGTGTCAGCTGTTTCCCATCCGAGGAAAACTTTCAGAATAGAGAAAATTGACCAACTGACCGAGAAAGTCCTGTCAAAGTGCACTAGGGTCTCTGCGCACTGCCCGCCATGTCCGACTCCCATACAAGTCCCAAAACTGCCTTCGACCAGCCCAACAATGGCGGTCCCAGAACATGTGCATCCCTGACTGATCCACTGGTTCTGACCAGGTTCTAACGACGACTCAGAGCTCGCGTACCTCGCCTGTATGCGAGTAAGCCCTCGGAGGCCATCAGGAAAAGGGTCATTCTGCTTACGGGTTCTGACGGTTGCTGAGCGCTGATCCGCTGAGCGAGAGTGATGCCAAACCGTTAGATAGTGTTAGCATATAACGTGGCCGTCAGACATTTCACACATAAGATACATTTCTTGTACATTGCTGACGACTGATGTTCTGACTATGCTAACGGGTAACACTCATGTGAAGGGTAATCTACGTACTTGTTGAAATAGGAAATAGAACGAGTTGAATGCTACATGTGAGTATGAGAAATCAAAATCAGTGGGCAGACGAGTTGGACCGTAAACGGGGGCATGAACCAGTCCGATCTCATTCGCCGTCAAGCAATCTTGGTTTGACAACCCACATACCAGTCACAGAGTCGGGCTCGGCACCAACAGGGAAGAACCATTCAACAAGTGCACCCGGATAGGTGATTTCGTTATGAGAGAAAGAGATGAAGGCGAGCACGCGGCCGACCAACAACCCTCCCATGATATCGTCATCAGAACCAACCTGGATGAGCACTGTGTCCCACCGCTCATAATTGCCATACCAGTGCAGATGACTGCGGATCATTTCGCAATGCATGCCACCAGGTCCACAGAGCTCGCTTGGGGTGTAGAAGAATGCGCGCG